CTGAGATACTTTTGCATGGATATTGCAATGCCAATTCCCATAGATCCTATCGATTACACATTCAGCAGCGAATCTAGGATCCCAGCAACGAAACGTGTTTTGAGATGAGGACGATCCGTCGTACAAACAGAAAACAACCATAGCACCATAGGCAAACAATCCGATTCAAAGCATTCAACGTAATCCTGAAGTGAACCGGACAGTATTCACATTCGCCTCCTAACACCAGCCCCACTCGCTTGCATGACGGGCGCAAAGGGCTTCTGAGGTGCAATATGGGCATCGTTCCCCCCCAGTACCTTGCTCTTGTTCGTCTTGTACAGAGATTTGATCTGTCTTCGTATTTTGATTACCGCTCGATGCTTCACCTCCCCCGTTCTGAGCTTGCATCTCGCCGTCCCGTGCAGATTGAGATCTAGTGTCGTGTTCACTATTACTATGACCTGCTCGAGCAGATCTTCTCGCAAATCCTGACTGGGCTAACGTTTAGTATTGTGGTTCTAGCGTGGTTCATGAAAGTAAACTCACTCCAGGGTGTGACTTTGCAATACGTGCAGCAGCCTCGGGGGTCATATGGCGGTTTCCCATCCTTGTGTTTAGGTGAGGTGATGGACTTCGTCGATATGCAGTTGGCAATGGGCTGATTTGAAGAGGTGTTCCACAGTTTAATGTAGGTTCAAATGATTGAGAGGTTTGGTCTTAACGAAAGGATGGGACATCGCAGTTATATGTAGAATTCGCTCGACATTGTAGATAGAGTCTTAAAGATTGAATTGGGAGCTTCGCATGAATTTTAAATCCCAATGCAGCACGTCTCAAGACTTCTCATCTGCTTGTCCGTCTACTCTTTGTCGCAGCCTTTAATCACATAAACATGTCACAACTGGCAACTCTTGCGCGAGCCTGATGCTGCAACATATCAGCGACAATTCCATTCGTTCGCTTCCTCTGATAACTTGCACTTGGCATACAACACTTCAGCGGGTGTGTGCGCAGGAAGCAGCTTCACCGTCCCCAATTGTTGCGAATGTGGGCAAGAGATTATCAACCATGAGGTTAGGTTCCAGTCCATCATGTCGGGCTCATTCCCGCCTGCACCCTCATGTACCTTTCCGTATACTGGAAGAATTCTCAAATGACCCGAGTCAATTGTCACTGCATAATCCTGTATTAAGAATTCGGGCCGAGTGTCTGAAGTTTGAATATGACGATAATTAATCATAAAAATGGCCTAATGTAAATGTTCTGGAGGAAAGTGATATCCCGGAAGATTATAATGGAATGGTATTGGACGCTGCGTCTTCAATCGCTTGCAGTATGCAGGGTCCTTCGCGAAACGTTAGACAATGACTGGTTGAAGTCAGAGACGGGATTCTACAGTTTCAGACGATATATCAATGCATAGAAAAGCGGTGTCAACCCATAGCTCCGTGTGATCAGACGAGTCATATATTGAAGTGAAAAATAATGTATTGCAGCCGTTCTGCGACTTATCTAGTGCCCATGAAGAATATCACCCTTCTCTACTATGCTCTTCTGACATTTAGCCAGGATTGCAGCTTGCCTACCAACTTCTTCCAGCCTACCAATGACATCCTTATTGCCGTCTACAAACCCATAGAGCGCATAGGGAATGCCTACTTCATTGCAAAATTCTAACACAAGCTTCTGGGCGCGGCGAAGATTGTGTCTAGGCATCCTGGGAAAAAGGTGATGAATAGCCTGAAACTGAAGACCTCCGTGAAAGAAGTCGAGCCATTGTGGGCAGTCGATATCCATAGTCGTGCGTAGCATCTTCTGTGGAAAGGACTCGTGGGGCCCAAGTTCAGACGTGCTCATGGAGAAATGTGAAAGAGTTATCTGAGCATGGACTGGCATAGTGACCACATGGCTGATCAAGACAAATGCAACTCGGGCACCATTTGTAGGAATGCTTCTGTAAACTACTCCATAGCCAAACCAAGTCCAAAAGAAAACCTGGCCCGCAATTTCTAGCCATCGTTGCCACCATGCAGGACCTTTCTTTGGCCCAAGACCCCGGAGAAGATACTCCCAGGACAAGCGGTAGAGATTGAATCGACCAAAGCAGAGTACTACATAATAATAGTATGATTGGTACGGAAGGAGAAATTTCGCGAATGCGTCATATTCTAAGCATTTTTCATAGTAAGTTGAGGTCAGAGAGCTCAAAAATCTATGGGTAACGGCGAAGAAGGGGATATGCTGAATGTCTGGATCATGCTCGGGAGAGTTTGTCACAATGTGATGAACGTTGTGGTTACGTTTCCACCATCCAATTGATAGACCACCAATGAAGTCTGCAAGCCCAATGCCGATCAGCGAGTCAATCGTGAAGTTGTGGGTGATTCCCATATGGCCTGCATCATGCACCGTAAATACTAATTGATGCCATAGACAACCAAGAAACAGCCCACTTGTCCCATACCAGCCCCACTTCAAGCACATGAATGCCATAGTGGCAAAGAAAGTATATCGGCAGCATTCAATTGCGTATGCAGTGTAATTGCAGTCATACAGGCCTTCTGCACGCATCCGTTGATCCAACAGACGGTACTTCTGAACAATTTCTTCTTGAGTATCCGGATCTAAAGAAGGATATTTTGCATGGTCTAGGACGATTTGTTCTCGAGTCAATGCATCAAAGTGAGACATGCCGTCGTTCAGGTCAGGCGCAGATGAAATGGAAGAGGCAGAGGACACCGGGCGATCTTCTTTAGCCAACCCTCTTCTGCGCACTTCTGTGAAATCTTCATCGAATGTAGGTGAGGGGAGTCTTGAAGTTTCAGAGCTCGATTTTTCATCGCAAGTATTGTCGTCTTCTACGGAATCGTCGGACGTGCCTTCGACATAGCTTCGAAACTTTCCGTATTGTATTGGAGGGACAAAGTTCTTCCAACGACCTTCTACTTTACCGATTTGATACCTTCCCATAAGGGCTCTGGTTTCTGCCGAGTGTAGACTACAGAGAATCTATTAGTTTGGGTGATCTCGGAAGAGTGATTGTTACTTTACGGACGCGTTCACTTCATCTGTTGCATCCCTTCCTACCATATGCTTAATGGCCTTGTCTCCTCCGGGATGGTATTTCATCCAAGCATCTACTTTGAGTACGGCCTGGTCAACAATAATGATGGACCTGCCATCTGCAATGAGACCTTCGACTTGTCTGCGAGATATAATCTTCTCCTTAGAAGCGGCCGCCACGGCCTTCAAGGAAGACATTGTAAAATGATCGTTTCGTAGGACAGATAAGCTGAAGCTGATAGTGTAAAATAACAGGAAAAGTGTGAAAAGCAACCAATCAATTGACGCTCACAAGAGTTTGTGTCGAATAAACATTCGATGATGTTGATTGATTATACTTTGTGAAGAAAGTTAATTGTACGAAGTCTAAGAGTCTAGTATTTTTATTAGTAGTAATCGTTAAGAACTTGCGGTGTCTAGTCACAACTTACTAGTGGTGCCAATCCCTTGAACCAGTGGCGGGGCTTGGATTTTTGACCCCTAATTTTGTGGGACAGGCTAAATGTCGTTGCTCAAGCCCGTTTCGCACTTCTTACCAATTGATGAAGGTTCAACATCAATATCAACTAAATCAACAATCTGACCCTTCCACCTACACACTGGACCTGATCTTTGTGGCATTCTCTCTACTTCAAGATGATCTTGATACTGTCCCTGCTGGTCATTCACGAATATGATTGTACATGAATGATATCGTCAAGGGTCCAAAACTACTCTATAAAAAGGCAGTTCGATGAGCAGATACCTGGTCACCCCATTTACCCATATATCTGCAAAAAAGTGGGTTGGAGAAGCTCTCACCTGTGGGTCAATTGCGAATAAACATATGGCATGAGAATTGATGCAAACAATTTCAATCTTCTCCATAGGCCAAGCTCATAGCGTGAGAGAGCCGGTTCACAAAAAGGCTCGGCGGAATGTTGGCAATAGTGACGGCAACGGCGACGGCGATGGTCTTGAATGGGATTCTTCGTTTCCCTCAAGTCTAACGCAGATGCCTTGTCTGCGATAATGGGTTGGTCCCTTGTGCAGTTTTTCTCTTACTGGGGTTTGAGTCTCCTGCTTGCGTGTGCAACCCTACCGTTAGTGACACTGAGAGCGACTTCATTGTGACCTTCTGCAGTGAGCTGAATACCTTCATGCTACATCGAATGATTTTAGAAGTTTCTAGAAATACTACACGTTCGGCTGTACTCTAGTGTATCAGCTAGTACAATTTACATGTCGATATTGTCACTTTTCCGGGTGTAATGTCTTTTGGATGTACATGTTATCTACTGCTTAAGCAATCGCTATTCGTTGGAAACATGCAGCAGTCACCATGATCATCTCAGTAATATCCAGGTCCAAACACTGCCCCTCGGGATTGTGCTGGTGGGTTGGGGTTCAACTCTTCCCACATTCGTACACCGAGGTGAAGTTTTGCATTCTAAGGCGACCAGCAGCCATTTCTATCTCCCATTGAGCCTAAGACCGCTACTATCCTCCTCTCCAGCGACTCTTCTAGACAAATCCAGTAATTACTACTTCACCGAAGGCCAATCGCTGTTTTACTCGGAAGTGACATTGCATACGGCGATGGGACAAACTATGTTTGCTTGATATCCTCACCTCTGTGTAACTTCAGATATACCTATCAGAAATCTCCTATTGCCCCAGAAGAGCAGATCCAAAAGTCACATAAGCTACAATATGGAATTTTCTTCGTTGTTATCTCCTAATATTCCCGGTTGTACATGAGTGTAAGCCTCATTCTGTTGGGCAAAACCCATCGTTTCACAGCGAGGGGGTATTTCTTCCCCCCAGGTATAAAATACTCGCTGGATGTCCATCTCATTCTCTCGAATCCAGCAACATTTCAATGAACGTTATTACAGCCCTACAAACCTCACAACCCTTTAAAATTTTACAACCTAATCTTTCAAAACATACTTTTGTCTTCAACCATTATCACGATGAATCTTACTTGCCTCCGCAAACACAATCCCAATGTTTTCCGCCAATTAGATCCTCACGTCGACCCAATCTACCTTCAAGCACCACACCGACCCCAAACTGCGCTCGCACATTCCCTGATTATCCCACGCACCCATCCTTCCCACAATTCTACTCATATCTATAACGACTGCCAGTCCTGTGAAGACGACCCACGAACTGGTGCTCATTACTGCCGTACTTGTATCGAAGCTCAATATTATTCACTTCAATCTCAATCTTATTCACAATCTCAGATCCAAGATATGTACTATACCACGTGCGAATGTCCGCATTGCGACAGTGGTTTGAACTCCTATACGAATAGCGCGAGAGGGTACACGAGGGGTGATGGAAGATGTTCAAGTATAAATATAGAGCCTGTTACCCAGCAATTGTAAGTTTGATTATTCACTGATAAACGGAAGGCCACAACAACAATTGTGCTAACGAACGACCCACAGACATAATGCAGGAATATACGCCTATCTGTCTCCCAGTAGACTCGGACGAAGTCCTTATAGAGATGTCGGATTACTTGGTTCAGGTACATGTTTAGGCGCGGCAGGTGGATTGAGTGGCTTGGGAAATGTAGGTAGTCTCGGAAGTCTGGGTGCTCTTAGTGGTTTTGGGGGAGTGAGAGATATGAGAGATGCAAGGCATCACGGCGGAAGATGTGGGCTACAAAATAATCGGCTTGCATATCGGATTTAGGATTTACCTCCTAGCTTGTTGTCGTTTGCGGGTTATACCATTGTTAAGTTTCATTTTGTTCAAGTCTGTAATAGAGACCATGGGAGGAAGCAGGGGTCACAAATAGGAAGGAGTTAGTCGAGGATTATTCAGAAGTTCTAGGGTTTCATAAGTTATCAATGAGTACCGCATACGATTTATGTAACCATATCTTACACGAATCACAAATTTCAGTCTCATGCTCATGCTCATGCTTATGATCGCGCCATTCATTTTCAAATCACGCCCCCGCCACCTTTAACCTTCTTCTAATAATGGACAGCCTTGCCATAGGTAGCCATAGCAGCCTCTTTAAATGCCTCTGCCAAAGTTGGATGTGCGTGACACGTGCGTCCAATATCCTCACTTGACGCGCCATATTCAATAGCCAATGTAGCTTCTGCAATCATCTCTCCGGCATTTGGTCCGATAATGTGAACACCAAGGATTCTATCAGTCTCAGCATCGGCAAGCATCTTTACCATACCTTCGGTGTCCAAGTTGGTCTTCGCTCTTGAGTTTGCTGAAAATGGGAATGTGCCGGTCTTGTACTTGGTGCCAGCAGCCTTGAGCTCCTGTTCATTTTGGCCAACCCATGCGACTTCTGGATGTGTGTACATAACAGATGGGATGGCTGCGTAGTTGACGTGTCCGTAACCCTTCTTGATGTACTCAACGACCGCGACGGCCTCTTCCTCGGCCTTGTGGGCAAGCATAGGTCCGAAGGTGCAGTCACCTACAACTCGGATGTGAGGCAGCTTAGTTCGGTATTCCGAGTCGATGACCAATCTTCCCTTATCGTCAGTCTCGAGACCGATGTTCTCTAATCCGAGACCTGCGGTGTATGGTCTTCGTCCAATAGCAACGAGTACGACATCTGCGTCAATCTATGGAAATTGTTAGCGTGTATATGCAATATTTAGTAGATTTAGCGTACGGTTTCTTCCTTGCCACCCTTGGCAGCCTCAAGGCTAAGCTTGACCTTCTCACCAGTAACATCACCACCCATAACCTTAGTGTTGAGCTTGAAGTCAATGCCTTGCTTCTTGAGTATCTTTTGCGATGATTTTGCGATTTCAGCATCCATTCCTGGTCCACCAATTTGAGGTAAGAACTCAACAACAGTAACCTTCGTACCAAGTCTTGACCAGACAGAGCTCATCTCAAGACCGATAATACCTCCACCAATAACAACCATGCTCTCTGGAACCTTCTCCAGCGCGATAGCTCCTGTGCTGGTGATGATTCTCTTCTCGTCAACCTCGAGTCCTGGGAATGGTGTGGCCTCGCTACCAGTAGCGATAAGGATGTTCTTTCCAATAATAGTCTCTTCTCCACCCTCTGAAAGGTTGACCTTGACCTCGTGCTCGCCAGTAAATGTAGCAGTACCCTTGACGTATTTAACATTGTTCTTCTTGAACAAAAATTCAACACCCTTTGTGAGTCCAGCGACCGCAGTGTCTTTCGACTTCATCATTTGTTGCAAGTTGAGCTTGACATCTCCGACTTCGATACCGCGAGCTTTGGTGTCATGTAAAATTTGGTGGTAAAGATGCGAATTGTTGAGTAGAGCTTTCGAGGGAATACAGCCGACATTCAAACATGTTCCTCCAAGAGTTCCACGCTTTTCTATACATGTTACCTGCGAACAATGTTAAAAGTCTGCAAAAAATTTCCTCCTATTAGGCAAACCATACTTTCATGCCCTCTTGACCAGCTTTGATAGCGGCAACATATCCTGCAACACCTCCTCCGATGATAACCAAATCTTGCTCCTCTTCTACATGTCAGTTGTTTTCACCCCGTGACATCGATTGGGATTACTGACCAGCTTCAGTGGCGTATCCTCGTCGCGATAAGTTTGCAATTCCTGAAGGGGCAACTATCTTGGGAAGACTGCTAAAAGAGAAAAAAGTTAGTACAGAAAACTTTCAACAGGAATTGAAGTCTGGTCATTGCACTTACGAGGATTGTTGTCTGAAAGCAGACCTGACGGTCGCTCTGGGCACTAATAAACTGCGAAGCATTTTGTATGAAGGGTATTGTTGTGTTATTCAACAAGTTTTAGGGTCGCCGCCGTTTGTTTAGTTACCGGACGGGCGAAGCGGATTGATCCGATAATCACGTGGAGATCTTTTAGAACCCTTTTTAGAACCGCGAGTTCCCGGCGCCGCTTGATTGTGTAAGCTAGAAGTCTCCAGGAAGCCCAAAAAGACAATCAATTTGGCACTTGTAAGGGTTGCTTCGGCTTAGAAAAGGACTAATTAATCACTACTGATAATACGATATACATCAGGCAAAGCCAAAATAATTAAGGGAACAATCTTTATAGGTTCCAGCCCGTGTCTTCACTCACTACTAGTAGTTATATGAAAGCACGAGCAAAGTAATTCATAAGGGATGCCATCTTCTAGCTACTAATCCCACATCGCTATCCACTATCTACCTGGGGGTATCTGCATTAAGCAATGCCTGAAGTGTATCTCCAGCAACCTTACAACCCCATTTGACGATATCCTTTTCAGCCTTTCCTCCTGCTATATCCGTCTTGCCTACTACCTTCTTTAAGAAATATTGCAGCCCAGTTATCATCTGAGGCGTTTCCTTCACCCTCGAGAACAGATTTGCCATTGCTTTCGTATCTCGACTCTCTTTCGATGCTTTCTGAGTTTGAAGAATAATAGTGATAAAGAGAACCTCACAGAAAGTTTTCGTCTTAGCTTGTAGATAGCTGAGATTTAGATTCTTGAGAACGTTAAGTCCAAGTCCACCTTCTGCCATCAACGTACCAAACATCTTGGCCAGATTGACAATGTGCCTCGTGTCCAGCTCAGTATCCTCTTCAAAATCTTCATCATCGTCGTCATTTGTTTCGCCCATTTTCTTGAAAAGATCCCACAAACTGAATTGGAAGGCCATCTTGAGCTTTCTATCACCACATAATCTCTTTGCTATCAATGTGTAGTACGGGTTGTACATTTTTTCTGCGCCGGAACATTGTATCAAGACTTTCGGTATCTCGAGTTCCTGTACCTTTTTTAATTTCAATTTCATCAATCGTAGATATGCGTCTTGGTAGTCTGAGGCGGACATAATGGTGATGAATACAGCTCGGCGAATGTCCGTGTTCATACGTTGCTCTCTGGCAAGTTGAACGAGATCAGAGGTCCCTGCATCTACATCTTTAACTTCTCTGGTGCTTTTAACTTTTGATGTGGAATCTTCCTCGTCATCGGCATTACCTGCCCAACTCGCACCAACCAACCACCATTTCCCCTTTTTATCCGAATCTCTAATGTCTTTTAGACCAATGCGCAGGGGTTCGCTAGCTTTTATACTTCGAGTATTCAGCGTTCCTAGTGTTTTTTTCATTCGAATTGTATGCTCTGAGGTGACAGCAGAAGCAACAGCCCCAGTTTTCATTTTGTTGTTTTTGAGATCGTTGATGGTTTCAATCATGAACTTTGTCCTCACGGACAATTTATCTTCGCCACCAGCTTTTTGGACGGCAGGCCGAAGCATAGTAACAATATCTTTTAGTGCTGAAGGGTCGTCTTGTCGTAATTGAGGACCTGAGATGCGCACAATTTTTAAAAGAAGCTCGGCATTCTGTTCCGATAGTGTATCTAAAAAGAGCTTGATGTAATCGAAAATGAGGCTGCTACCCACTACTTGAAAGTTATACAATTCTGAAAGTAGAGCTATCAGGTTGGTAGTTTCCTTGCTGTCGGGAACGGATGTCGAGGATTCTTGATTTAGTGATAGTATACGCGCATAGTGTTCGTCAAACAGTTCAACTATTCTTTGAACTACCTGAGCACCGAAATCGGTACCAATAATCTTGTATACTGCGGCAATGAATCCCGCGGGGAGGATTATAAGAGTGTCGGGTAAAGTCGTTGGTTCGCAAACAGATGTCAGGAGCAGATCGATGAGGGTGGAAGTCATGTGTTGACGGGGATTGGTCCGATACAATTTTTCTATGTCTCCAAGGAGGGATAATAGATTGGCTTCTGTCAACCTATTGACCAGACCTTGAGTTTGTCGCCGCAGACGCACTAAATCTTCAGAATCTGAAGAAGATGCTTTTCGTAATGAAGGTGGGATATATTTTCCAGTGGATGCTGCAGTTGCAGACACAGGTGCCACGTACGGGTTTTCGCGGACTTTTGGCTTCGGGGGGGCGTCTTCATCACTCCCCGAACCAAAACCTTCGAAGTCGTCCTCAGCTGTACCCTCATCGTCGTCACCTGAATCGCCGTCCGAGAAATCACCTTCCTCCATTGACATATCAGACGCTTCGTCGTCATCATCATCCATCATCTCGTCGTCTTCGTCCTCTTCTTCGTCCTCGGAACTTTCATTGCCCCTTGCTCGCTTTCGGGCTTCTGCTCTTTTGCGCTGAAGCCAGTCATTTGCCTCCGCTTTTCCTTTTTTCTTGTCTTGTACTTCCTCATCTTCGCTCTCGTCTAAGGCATCCAGATCACCCAGAAGATCATCTAACCCATCCTCTTGGAATGATTTTGGTAGACCTTTCTTCTTCCCTTTCAATCCCAATTTCTTCTCCAGAGCGGCGATCTCGTCATCGTCTTCCGCCAATTTATCCTTGACAGCCCTCGAAATGTTCTTTCCTATCCTTGATTCGGTGTTCACATCGTCCTTAAGGGGTGCCTTCGCTGGTTTGGGGTCTGCTTTCTTCGTCGTTTTCAATATGGATTTCGGTTTTGGGCTATCGTCTTGTTTTGATTCTGGGACAACCTTCGCGTCAAGCGGTTCAATATCTTCATCTTCCTCGTCATCACTGTCGACATGATTATACTTAGGATGTTGTGACTTCAATCGTTTTTGCGGAGGAGGCCTAGAGGACTGGGATCTACTCTGCTTCTTCTCTTGTCTTTCCGCTTTGCGCATTTCTTTACGTCCGAGACGTTTACGCCCTCGACCTCCATTTCCACCACCATCTACAGAAAATTGTAAGCATATGAGAATGAGTTGTCAATGGCTAGTATTCACCTTCGATTCCCAATTGCTGAAGAAGACTACTGGGTAGCTTTGGAGCTGTAGATTTTGGCGGTGCCATATTTGTGAAATACTGTAACAAACAACAGACTCTATTTGAATCACTAATCAATGCTACAACTCTCAAGTAAACAGCTGCAGCTTAGTTATTAAATACAATAAGTTTTGTTTTAAAAGGCAAAAAAATCCGATCATCCTCAGATACCGATAAGAAATTTTGAGGTTTATCCAGACTTTTTTTCCTACCGTAGCCTTGACGAAAACCTTCAGCCTTGCTTTAGCCTGGTCCAGAACCCCACACATTTCATCACCCCCACAATCATTAATCGCAGCTTAAAAACAGCATCATAACAGCAGTTTACACTATGGTGTCGCATTTAAGTAATGATGAGGTATGTTTCTATTACTACTCATATAGCCTTGGGCAAGTAGTAATTCTTTTGCGCAAGTAGTTCTTCTCGAAACTCGCTCCTCTTTTTGATTCCCGACGGGAAAAAGATCATGGTTCTGTTTTCTTAACACAGAAATGTTGTAAGTATTTCAATACCCATATGCTCCTGCAACGGAGAAGCCTTTCCGGACTTCTATGGACAGGTTCTAACTGCCATAATAGATAACTATGACTCGGCCTCCGATGCTTCCACAACCGCGGCGCTACCTCCCGGCAACGATGTCGAGATGAATGCTCTCAACGATGTCCTCACTGCTCAGTTCCCGGACCTTTCACGCGACGCCCCCATGCCACTTCTCATTCGCGCCACAAATGGCAAAGGCAAATCTAAACGTTCAGAAAAGACAAAACTGTCCACCGTCGTCCAGCCAGATCAATTAGATTCGTTCTTCGCTAGATATGCAGAAATATGTAAAGGTGGCATGAGTGCGCTGAAAAAGAGAGATAGGAGCAAAGCGAAGGAAAAGCTTAAGGCAAAGAAAAGAAAGATAGGCACCACTTCTGCTGTTGCTCCAGGAGACGAGAAGAAGTGAAAGAATCGAAGTTGTTTTATGGTGGACGAATTAAGTGTCCTGAACTGCCCAGGTGGACGTGGATATCCCCGGAGAAGTAGCCGAACAGCATGATTAAGGGGGTGGATATTTTGATGATGACATCACAGCATAGCGTCGCATATATGGGATTGCTACTTTGGCCTTCGTGGTGGATTGGTACATAAGAGTACATACTAATCTAATACCAAAAGGGCATGTGAGGCGTTTGCCAAGTTGTCGAGCCTCTATTCTCAAGGATTAAATTCAACCGTTGATTTAATATTTGGCCATCTTCTTACATACACCTTTATGCTGGAAGTCACGACTACTTATCACATCTACTTATCACATCTTGTCTTCTGGAACTGTCTTTTACGTGTTAAATGTTCATTGATGAATATACAGGTAATGATATCCCTTCCTCGGCCTGTGAATATTTACAAATCAGACCACCAGCACATATCCCATTCCTACTGACTTCTCAGCCGCCCCTTGCCACGCCTACCACTTTCAACTCATGAACACACCATCTACTAATCCATTCGTATAAGAAATCTTCTTATAGTACAAATCCATCCCAATCTATGTCAACGTCACAAAGTCCATGTCTATGTGAGACCACTCACTCGCTACCAAATTCTAGGAACGAGAGAAAAAGAAACACTTGGAAACCTCCATGCCTAGGAAAAACAAAGGAGAAAAGAAAGAAAAGAAAAAAAGAAAGAAAAGAAAAAGATGGTAACAGGCAGAAGAAAAGAAGGGTATCTAGATCAGGTTATAAATGTAGCACAGACACAGAAGTTGCCCTGAACTCTGGAACGTATAGATATAGGTCTATTTGTAAGTATGTCGTAAGTACATATTGTCGGTTGATAATAGTAATCCTCTAAGGAGGAGTAGCGATACGTGAAATAGGAAGAGAAGCACTGGCAGATGTGTTGCCTGCTACAGCGGAAGTCGAAGCCGGAGTTGAGGTTGAGGTTGCCATGAAATTGTTAGGAGGAGCATGCTGAGCAATATGAGCTTCTGAGAGAGTGGGACTAGGCAAATAACGTGGTTGGGGAGTGAACCGGTCGACCGTCATTTGCGCAACCTGTGCGTCCGGGCCTGCGGATTGCATATCCGTATCATGAGTTGGTGCGGACTCATTGTTTGTCTCCTTTGAAGGAGAATGTGTCAAACTATCCGCATATTCGGGCCAGTCATTATGAGTCAAAAAGGAAGCATCATGACTGTGATGCAAGCCAGTTGAAAAGGCAAACTGATTCTATTCAGAGGTTGTTAGTTCATTTCTCTTCATATACGGGTCATGTTAACGTACCTCAGGAGTGTCTAAATTATCGGACCTTACTCCTTCACCGCCGTCGTCAGTATTGAACTCACCATGTGATCCCTCATGATCAAATTCAATGGAGGACTGGGGATGATCTTGATATCCCATTGTGTAGCGCTCTGCTTGTTGCGGATTCACTTCGTAATCTGCCATGGTACCGTATTGGTGAAGGGGTGCCCGATCTGTGAATACAGGCATGCCGTGGGATTGTCCCGCATAGGGGTCGTCGTCAACATCCATGCCGTAACTAGGTAAGCTAGGGTCTCCATTCTGTTCAGCGGATTGCCAAGAATAGTTGTTGTATGAGGATTCTGGAATGTCGGGACGGAATTGTCCTTGCTGATATGGGTTATTGCCTTCCATGAAAGACGAGATTTGATTCATTTGGCCCTCTTCTTTGATTGCTGCCAGTTTCTTCTTCTTGCCGCCTCCAGGTGGTCTACCTCTTCTAGGCTTGGAAATACCTCCTCCAGCAACAGTAGCAGTTGTGCGACGCTTCTTCTTAACGGGGCATTCAGGTACATCTTCGACAGCTTTATTCTTGCCCTTGCTTGCACATCCCGTTCCGTCACATGATTCACAGTCCCTAACTCCATCACTGCTTGCACCACAAAACCAACAGTTTCCAGCATGCTCAGTTCTTCTTCGTCGTCCTTCTGGAGTACAGTTCTCTAGACCCTCAACCACAAACGCGTTATCGATAGGTGGTCTTCTAGCTTCGTAATCGTCTCCTTCAAGTCCTTCACTCATGGCTTGACATCTCCAACATGTACCCTGAAGCAACCACCGTTGATCTCTAACTCTGGAACCATGTACAAGACATAGATCTTCGGGACATTTTTCTAGCGGCCATCCGTCGGGACAGCTGCTATCAAGTTTAGAGACTTCGACGTAGGTTCGGTCGCAGCAGGTGTATCGAAAAGGGCGTATGAGACACATAATTATGTGTGAGCTGTAGCGATGCAGTATAATATCGGAAGTTGTATGAGTGTGATCGTGGTCGTGAGTCTCGTTATGTCTCTATTATTAATGCTTTATTGTTCTTGAAGGAGAATAAAAAGTTAATTTCGGGATTTGGTATTAGTTGTACATTCACGATTAAAAGAGATCAAGGGGGGAGACTTCAAGAACTATATAATATGACCAAGAACAAAGTCATTTTTGATAGAGTGAATATTCAGATATGATTCAGGAGATGATTAATGATTCACGACCATCTTCAAATATGACTTTGAAAGACTCATGTGATTGTATTATTCCCGAGTATTTGTGATTGTTTATTAAGAACAACAAGGTGACAATCTTGTCCTTTTAGCATTGCTTGGTTGGCATACACTCTATGACGTTATTTTATGGCAATTCACGCTCGCTCATCCATGGAAAGAGGATTATCTCCAAAATAGACTTGTATTGCTATGAGTATCAGGCATTGTACTTGCTATTAGATCCATTCTGTGAGAAGACTTTTGAATGAAAGAAAACATAGAAAGCAAATGCGCATGAATATTCACCCCTCCAGACTCGCAAAGAAATAGTAGAGCAATTCCATGCTAGATGAATTCAAAAATTCATCCATGCAGAGAGAATTCTCAGCCTCTGATGACTTTTTGGGTGTTAGATCTTTGAGTACACATAAGAAAATCGAGCTTGATAAAAGAAAAGTGTGTTGTAACATGGGCGAAAGGTGTCGTAAGGTGTGGGACCAGTTCGTGTGCTTAGATCCGAGCTCACATGATTTGATCTTGTGTGAGGTGAGTGACTTCTGTCTCCATAGCATCACCGGCACCACCAGGGATTTGGTACTTGACAAAGCTCAAGCCGAGAGGACGACCTCCGTATTGGTAGCCAGAGAATTTTTCAATGGCGGTATCTGCATTCTCGGCCGAGTCAAACCTAACAACACCAGTACCACGGGATCGGCCATTAGGCTCATATTGGATCTCAGCCTGTTCGACCTTGCCAATGGTGGTGAAAAGCTCGACAAGATCTTCGTTGCTAGTGGACCATGGAAGCTAGATTTACATTAGTTTGTAAAACGATGAGGAGTCAAATAATACTTACGTTGCGAACATAGATAATTTCACTTCTCTCAGTTCCAGCGGTAGCGTGGTCGGTGAAAGGGTTAGGTGCAGCTGCGGGAGCTCCAGCACCACCATCGAATCCACCAGCACCTCCGGCGTAACCTCCACTAAATGCACCACGACCTCCACCAAATCCTCCGCCAAATCCGCCACGGCCACCTCCGAAGCCTCCACGGCCTCCAAATCCGCCACCGAAGCCTCCACGACCGCCAAATCCTCCACGAGCACCACCAAATCCTTGAGCACCTGCGAAGCGATCTTCGCGGACCTCAAGAGGGCGACCTTGCCAGTCATAACCATTAAACTGCTGAATGGCATTGCGAGCGTCATCGGGAGATTCGAAAGCAACAATACCAGAGCCTTTTGGACGTCCGTCAGGACCAACATGGACATCGGCGCGAACAACGGCACCATTTCGGGCTATATAATATTGATCAACATCTTGATCACATTTGTGTTAGTGCATGAGGGAAACATACCAGCGCCGCGGAATAGATCCTTCAGATCTTGCCATCCAACGGTGTAGGGAAGCTAAATCGCTAAGTTAATATTCTCGGCACTAGAGTCATAAAAAGGGTAAAGATAGATGGGGACAAACGTTGGAGACGTAAATTTGACGGCCTCCACCTCCAGCTCCACCTCCAGGGGCCATGCCACCTCCGAAACCACCTTGGAAACCACCACGACCTCCTGGTGGACCGCCGCCTTCGTAACCGCCACGGCCTCCAGATGGAGTACCAGTGAATCGGGGTTCGGCCTCACGATCCTTTTACAAAAATTAGTAAACGTTGAAAGCACAATTGAAACGGCATGGAATGCATGCTTACCTCTCGAACGTAAACGAGTCTTCCCATAAGGTTCTGGTTGGACAGAGTGTTGACTGCCTGTTGAGCTTGCTCCCTCGTAGCATATTCTACAATGCTATTTCAACTTAGCATTTGAGATCAACCAAGTTAAGAAGACTGTTACTTACCCGCATCCCTACAATACCCGCGGAACAACGTCCCAATCCGTCAATCCAACATTCCATCAAAATCCAAGAGAAAAAGAAAAGATTCAAAGCCAAATCACGTATAGGCGCCCACCTTCGACATTCCATTAGGAAGCAATAACACATCAGCAAAGAGGACCTCTCCAGCTAAAGAAATCGAACCCCTGGTTAGCCCATATCCCCAACTCCAACCTCCATTATCGAACACTGACCAGATCTCATAAAGTCTTTAAGATGATGCCACTTAACATCGTATGATAAGTTGCCGACGTAGACACGACGGTCTTGTTGCGATGATTCACGTAGAGTGCTCATCATTTGCTCTCTGGCCGCAGCTCTCTCTTCGTATGTCCTATGTGGTTGTCCACCGTAAGCTGATCCCCCAGAACCACCTACACCTGCAGCACCCGACATTGGGGATCGAGATCTGCGATCGTTTCTGCGATGTTCGTCACGGCTGCGTGAGCGACTGCGAGGAGAATATGAACGACGACGTTGGGTGCGTCCTGGACTGCGAGAGCGTTGTCGACGAGGTGAACGAGATCTCTCTCTCTGTGAAACGTAAGCTTCTTTGACCATTAGATAGACAAAAGACAATGAAGGAATCGAGTTGTGCGAGAATATTTGTATGTGTGGGTTAGACCATCAAGGTTCTTACGCCATCAATTAGGAAAGGTTCCCACAGAAGCGCACTGGCGCGTTGCGATCAACGGGATCTCACAACTAGTTTGCGCCTGGAAATGAGATGCCATAAGCCGAAGACTCATAAGGCTTTCGGGAGTGCCTTATATTGCCGACGCTCAGGTTTGCGCAATGTGATACTGGAAAGATTATGGAGGAAGCAGAAGAAATTGAACATACTTGTGGTCGATAAGAGTCGTCCGCTAGATCAAATAATAGATTGTTAATAAAATGTTCTCAAGGAAGCAAGATTGAGGTGGGGTGGTTTGTGTAAAGGTTGAGGAAGAATCGAAGGTAAGAAGGTTTCAATGACGTGAATAAAACAAGACCAGATAAAGTGAATCAGAAAGAAGGTGAATGGACTAATTGGGAATGGAGGGGAGGGTATTGGGGAACATACCCATTGTATCTATTGTGAGTGAAGTATTAAGGTGATAAGTAGAATCAGGAGGCTGCTGCTGCTTAATGCTCTAACCTGCAGGTTGGAGACGAAATGGACTCCCAAGTGACTGCGCACAAGGATTCTATGGACCAAGTAAGGGCGAATTAAACGTTGCGTTTAATTGATCGAAATCGGCAAATAAGTTGAACCAGTGAAGCTCCGTGAAGAATATTCGATGCGGCTTATAGGGACCCGTAAGGAAGAAGAACTTCAACAAGGGCAGTATGACACAGCGTCTGTTTTTTTATCCTGCGGCAATGTTCGTCAACAAGGGCGTTACCAAAAAAAGATCGTGGATGAATGTCAAGGGTTGGATCTGCCTATTTGGAACGCGTCCTGGCTGCGGTGACAAAGCTCGAAGAAGAGCTGATGAATGGATTGGGAGGACAAGACTTGAGGATGTCTTGGGGGGTGGGTTGGGAGTAAATGACATCTGAGCCATAAGTGAGAGCTTACCTGGTTGTTGCTTTGACCAATGGTTGGGTTAGAAAGGATGAGATACAGAAAATTTGATTTAAATTTCTATATTTTCCTTACCCGACTAGATGGCTCACAAGGGTGTGCTACTCCTTGAGGTAATACAGATGAAAGATGGTGTGGTTCAAATCTGTATGGATGGGGGTGTGTTGGGTGGTGGGTGGTGGGTGGTGGATGTTTTGATGATGGGTGGAAGGTGTAAGGTGTGAGTGCCTATTGAAGACGCGATGTAATGAGGAGTTGGAGAAAAATAGCTAGGTCGCGCGCAGGAACTGTTACCTTTTCGGCTGATAACCGGCAGTGGTCTCTCTATCAATCTTTGGCTTCAGCTGAGACATAATCTATTAATCATCACTCTCAATTAAGAAATAATAGCCCAATGCGGTAATTGGCAGGTGCGTTATTAGTAACTAAACATTGACGATTATCACAAATGATTATATGTATCCATCTCTATTTCTAAACCTACCTCGAGCCTACCATCTAACGTGAACCAAATCGTTCACCGAAGCATTTTCTTACATCGTACCGTACATTCCCTCACTCATCCCTCCATACATACATAATGTTGTTGACTAAACCTCATACTCATCTTCACCCTCTGTTGGTCAATTCTTTCCAGATATGGCAGCATACGAAGACATATTGATATTGGCACACGCTCATGCATTGATTGCACTTGGGCATGTTTTTATAGTACGGCGGACTTTCAGGTACGATACCATTGGATTTGCTGTTTTGCAAGTTCAAAAAGAGAGAGGTCGACGTATGGAGTATAATCATGCGAACCACTTGTTCTCCACGCCTTCAATATCTATCTTTGGTTATGGATCGTATCATGATGGGCCCCTCCACTCCTCCAGCGTCTAGCGAAATTTCCGGACTACAACGCGGGACCATGGGCTCCATCATAGTATAATCAATGGATGACCCTAGAGTCAACATGAATTATGTGTGCTTTTTGGTCACTCTCATTGTACGGCGCGAGTAGTCGTGTATATATATGATACAACGGACCCATAACTTACTCCTCTCAACTCACCGTCTCAATTGGACATATTAGTTATTTCTATTATTCAGACTGATATTCATTGCATGCTACTCAATTTGGTTCAGGTTAAAGAATCTCTAGGATCACCTCGCCTGGATTCATTTTACCTAATGGCCATTACAGATCTTGAAGTTCAACAATCTTCTACGAACCTCACATTTCTCTAATAGGCACCGTACATACAGACCCCCGCACAAGTCACAAAAATAGTTTAGTCTACGAACTCCGGAGAAGATTGGCTCGATCAAGTCTGGTTCAGATTTATCGAATAAGGAAGCTCAAACCTCCTTTCAGATCGAGCAAACCAATGAAGTCTTTTGAACTGGGAGTAGGTATCCACCAATAGTTCCCTTTCATTCGATCTACACCTGGGATCTCTCACACATTATGTGCGATCTCAGTCCTTCTTATCCAATTGAACATAGCCAAAGAGATGGAAACGCAAATGCAATATTGCCACGAGCTATGACTCGCGGCGAACTTCTTCATGAAACACGCTTGAATATATCAATTAACGTATGAGCAAGGTGAAGGAAAACATGTCCTACCCACTTGTTGGGGGTTTGAGCAATCCCATGCATGCTTATTACCACTATGGAAGAAACGTTGAATCGGAGGGCCTAAACGCCAATGATATGGTGATTCCCAAAAATTGATGACCTGCAGCTGAAATCTGCAACAATACCTGAGCTTAACTGGCTTGCCGGACGGAAGCTCTTCCCCGTAGCACGACAGAATCAAGTTGATATGTCCACGAGACGATGCCTCAACCACGAAGTGTCATATCCAAGCCCGATTTCAGCTCCTCTGGCCTGAAAGAACAAAATCAGAATATAGAGATAGGTCCATTTGCCCTGATATGTACAATTATATGTACACATGTGCCCCTTCGTATCTTGCAGAATAAGACCAAAAATTTCATGCAATACGATGTTGCCGTTGCATCCCTAGGGGAAGGCCCACATTGCATGCTGCAATGTGTTTTCGACCGAGTCTATCCACATCGAATGGGACGTCGCGCAGATAATAAACATTTCATACCAGGGGTAACGAAAAGTGTGACGAGAAAGACACCAACAAAAACATGACATACATGCTGTGAGAGGTAAGTAACATTTCTTACTGCATATAGAAAAGTGGATCAAAGGTAACCGTACAAGGGCATTTGCACCAAAGAAAGAGACCAATACGAAAGGAACGGCGAACTTAACCAACAATTGCTTCATCCGCTTATGGATGACGGCCAAAGTTCTTCATAAACGAGGCTCTGCGGTTGACATAGCAAAAGGGAAGCTTACCTCGAGCTGACTCCAAGTAGAGCTCGCAAAAAATAAACTAGCCTATCGGGATATCCCGCGGGACGGGCAACTATTGGCCCAAGCTGAACCTTGAATTGGAAAATCTTCTGCTATTAACACCACCAAAATTTATCCTCCCAAACCACCTCCCAAACATGTCGTCCTCAACAACTAGACTACTACCCCGCCACCTACGGCCTCTCATCAAACAATACAATCTCGCAATTCCAAATTCTCTCTCCGCCAAATCCTATCATTCATACGACCGCCCCTCTCCCTTAGATTCTCCTTTTCCACCTACCGAAACAAGCATTCTCCGCGCCTCCGTTCCGCACATCCCTACTCACGGCTTCACTCTTAATACCCTTTCACTCGGCGCCCAAGATGTCGGTTATGTAGCTGCCGCCACAAATCTTTTTCCAAAAGGGGCGTTTAGTCTAGCACATTACCATTTGTACACCCAAAGAATAGCTTTGAAGAATCACACAGAACTCATTGTTCCACCTCTAGAAAATGAAGGGAGGGAAGCACCCAAGGGAGTGGGAAGGAGAGTAAAGGCATTGACGTGGGAGAGATTAATGGGAAACAAGGATGTAATTCACAAATGGCAGGAGGTTCGTAAATTCTAGCTTGGATTTTTATTGTTACATTCCATAAGAAACTAAACATCACCCCCAAAATACCTTCACAATTCCCCTCTTCTAAATCAGATTCAAAACTCCACATATGTTGACGCCCCAACTAACAACCCTCTCAGGCTCAAAGTCTCCTCACTCTACCAACCAATCTCCCCACCTCTCTCCGCGAACTACATTCCCTATCCGACGAGATCTGGTTTCTGTCCGGCGACATCTCAGTCGACAGTTCCTGGTATACCAAGCGAGCCAGTCTTTCCACTATTTACGCTGCTACCGAATTATACATGACGACAGATAAATCCGAGGGCTTTAAAGATACCCGCGAGTTCCTGGAGAGGAGATTTAGGGATTCACAGGTGCTTGGAGGAATTGTTGGGGGACTTGGTCAATGGGTGGGTTTCACGGCGATGGCGGGTGTTAATGTTTTGAGGAGTAAGGGGGTGAGGATTTAGTGGATGATTTATATAAAATAGAGGAATGTATTTTGCTGTTCACGTGGCATGAAAGGGAATGGCAGGAGGGAACAAACAGATCAATAAAAGGTCATGTATTCAGATTCATGTTATCTTAACATCAAAATTGCCACCAATAGCAACCACATGGGCAATACCATACCTGGACTCAAAGGACCAGTGAACACCATAACGCCATATCTTCGAAAGACACAGCACCAAATATTCCCCCAATGTGATTCTACAAGTCCCCAACGCCCCTTAGAAGTTAAGTAAATTACAGTAAAATTCGATTAAGCGGGATTTATCGTCTCGGGAATAGATTTCTGTGATCTTTCTCTCGGGGCTGCAAGTCTGTTATATGTTAGTAGGAAGATATGGGCATTAGACTAGCAATTGAGGGACTTACTTGTGGATTGACACATCAGGATTTTGGTCAATGCCAGCTCCCAAGGCCTTGGGTGTGATCAAGATGAATTGTCTGCCAACGGCGCGTCGAGCAGCGCTGATCTATCGACTCATTAGCATATGAGAAATTTGTGAGTAGAGCTTATTGTAACTTACAATCATCTTAGTGCTCACATCCCGATTGACATCATCCATGAAAACGTCGAACTCATCCAGACAGCGGAGAGGGGCACCCATAGCTTCCCAGAGAGAGAGAAGTAGACAGATAGACGAAAATGATTTTTCTCCTCCCGAAAGTGTCTTGGTTTGTCGACCCTTCTTATTATTACTTGTCTCGTCAGGTTCGACATGGACATCCAGTAATCTGTTCTTGTGATCAATCTCAAGTTTTCCCCTGAAAGCTCTCTCACTCAGCAGATAGTTGAAGTTGATACGAGATCTGGCAGAGATATGTCTCTGGAAACTGCGATATTGCTTCATGCGCAGAGAGAAAGAATACTTAAGTAGTCTTAGCAATTCTTCCATGTGTTTACGGCGGGATTTGAAGCTCCTCAAAAGCTCATGAGCCTTTGCGTAGCCATCTATAATTTCTTGCTCTGTGACCCCAAGCTTTCTGCTATACTGACTCAATTGATCCGTAATACTCTTGTACTTCGCTTCAAGACTAGCTCTGGTCTCATGTGGTGGTACTGGAATTCTGGCACATATCTGCGTTGCCGCTTCAATGTATTCTTCCACTCGAGTTTCCGTATCTGCGAGCTTGGTTTCGGCTTCTCGTTTGTAATCCTTATAGACCTCAACTTGCGCAATAGCAGCATTCTTTTCCCCAAGTGCTATAGCGCGTGCCTGCTCTTTAGCTTTGACCTTCTGATTTGCGTCGGCAATCAACTTCTCATGACTTTCTACACGTTTCTTGGCGGCTCTATAGGCATTTTTACAGCCAAGAGACGTCGTGTTATACTCAGTCCTTGCAAGAGTAGTAGCGCCATAAGCATTTTCGTAATGCGTAACATTGTCATTCGCCTCCTCCAGTTGTGCTTTGAGGGAATCCAGATAGCCATCCTCAATGTTAAGGTTGTTGTATTCGTTTTCTAATGATTCAACACGTTCTTCGGCCTTTTGTAACCTAATCTTTAATCTGCCTTGGGCAACCTTGTGCTGTTGGATCGCCCTGTCTGCCTCTTGAACACGCTGTTGAGCTGCACGGCAACTGTTTGCAAGCCTCGACTCTTCAGCTTGGCAGTGTTTCAATGTTTCCTGTTGCAAGACAATACGGCGCTCACCATCTGTATTCATGCGAGCTTTGAACCGGTAGGGTGACACATAGTCCTGTGCACTATTTTGATAGTTGGGGCCATTGCAATACAGGCGAATACCCCAGCCTCTTCTCTGTGGATTGAGAGTGAAGCAATGTCTGACATGCGCAGGCATAGACCTAGGCTCCATGATACGCATTGCTTCTTCTAAGTCATCTATCAGTAATACCTGATCTATTGCTTGGTTTATGATCAATGTGTTCCTCACAATCTCACTATCAATATCCAGCATTCTTAAAATGGTCATGAAGTGCTGATCAGGCTCGTTGTTTGTGGTGTCAATGGGTTTGGGATGCGTGATGTAAATTTGAGTTCGAAGTATGCCCATGGAGGAGATGATTTTCTGCAGCCTGGCCTGGTCTGCTTTGTTGGTAACAGCAAAACTATTCAAGGTGTTACCAAAAGTCACCTCGAGAATGTCAGACCATTTAGGATCGCGAAGTTTCACGTGGAGACCAATAGGACCAACAGGTTTCTGAATGAATCCTCGATCTTGCTCTATTCTCCGAAGTAGCTCGGGGATTTTCTGGTCAAAACTGCGCATTGGATCCGGGCGTTCGTTCTGCATTTCTCTTAGTCTGTTCCTACAGTTCTCCACTTCTTTTCTCTTCGCGGCCAAGGGCCCTTGCTCTTTTTCAAGTGCAGATTTAGCAGATTGACTCCTTTCTACCAATCCTTGCATTTCTCCATGGCTCCTCTCAAATTCGGCTCTCGCCTGCAAAGCTTCCGTCTTAGCAGATTCGATCTCTGTGAATTTTCGATTGAGAGATCCACCATTGGCATCCTCAATACGCTTCTGCTCGGCATCGATTTCCCCTTGAATGGTTCGAGCTTTTTGCTTTGCTGTTTCGAGTTCCAGCTTACTCTCCTTGTGTTCCTGGTGGAGCTTTTTAACCTCCGAGTCTGCCTCTTCAGCCTTCGACTTGGCTTCTTGCTCTTCGTCTTTGATAGGGACAAGCTCCTCTCCAAGAATTCTGGCCTTTTCGGAAGCTCGCTCAACAGAAGCATCAAGTGTCTGATATGCTCGGTCTTTCTCATCTACAACCTTCTCCTTTTCCTCAATCTTTCGTTGTGTTTCCACAACTGTCCTTTTGCGCTCCTCCAGTTCGCTTTCTTGCTCGTCAACCTGAAACCATGTCAACTGGTTTCTGAGAACTCTCTTCTCAACTCTCATGTCTTGATGCTGATCATAAATCTTCTTTTTTGCCTCTGCATCCTCGGCCTGTTTTTCCAGTGCCTCGAGATCACCCATGCTTTCATCAAGAAGAACTTCGATCTGATCACAACTCTCGGAAACAAGCTTGTAGTCATTGTCAAGTTGTTCGAGTTGTACGCCCTTCCTAAAAAAGTCGAACTTCTGGGCTGGAGTAGAAGATGTAATGAAGGTTTTCGCCTCATCTTGAGTAAGAACATTCATTGGGTTGTCAACTTGAAGTTGGAAATACTCCACTATATCATCCATATCACCCTTCTTGTCTTTTACAACCCCACCGGCTGCGTTCTTCACTTTATAAGTGCTACCACTGCCCGAAAAATGACGTTCAATGATAATCGACTTTCCGTATACTTCTGGCCGATAGGCGTCGGAACCCTCATTTTTCAATTTGACAAGAAGCATTCCCCGATCAGTTCCTGTCTTGATTAAGCTTTTCATACTGCTTCCACGATTCGTCGCACTAGGCTTTCCTCCTAGACAGAGTGTGATGCCCGTCAAAACTGCACTCTTCCCAGCTCCATTTTCCCCGACGACAAAATTGATAAGTGGGCCTAAGGGAACTTTAAGATTTGTATGGTTCATGAAATTCACACACTGAATTTCTTGAATGATGGAATTCTCGGCAGCGCGATTGGTACGAGGGGTCTGATTTTTGGCTAGAAGTTGCTGAGTAGCCATGTAATCATCGTGTTCGGTGTGTTCCAAATGTTTGAATCCAGCATCGCGAAGTAATTCGTACTGAGTTCCAGGGGGCACAGTCATTTCTTCATCGTCATCATCGTCATTATTATTGTCGTCATCATCGCTGGCGTTGTCGGAAGAACTGGAGGGGCTATCGTCGCGGACTTGTAATGATCTCGAAGAAGGTCCACCATTAGAGATTTTGGCGCGTTTGCGTTGCTAAGATAAAATGTCAGCATCTGTGGGTATGGATAGTTATTCTGGAAGTATGGCAGAAGGCGGAGGACATCTGCCAATATCCCAGGGCGCAAAAGTGTAGTGGTGGGTGTTCAAGAGTTACGCACAGTATCATGACGTAAGGCTGAGCTTGCACTCTCAGTTGCAATAACACCCCCCTCATCGTGTCTTGCACGCTTTAGAGGAGCCATGTGGTGATTTAGTTACTCTGATAAAAGTCAGAGTCGAGTTGTGAAATAAAATTATTAAGTTCGGCCATTCGACGCGTTGAAGATAAGTTACAAACACGCGAGAGCACCTGATAAGCCTCCAATCGCGGCAGCGAATTAAACTTTCCAATCAGCGTCCCTTGCTTGAATTGCCGTGAAATGAACAATCCGGCCAAATTCAATGTAAAAACTCCATCAATTCTTTCATCAAACCTTTCATTGTCTGATTATCTGATTATCTGATGTTTTGAAGCTTAATTTGATTCAATTTGGATATATCTAACCAGGTATTCCATGGTTCTATAAGTAAGAAATATTTGGAATTTAATTGGTCCTCGAGTCAAGCAAGGTAGGTTACTGAATTGATTACTTTGAAGCATTCCACTTACTTACTCATGGATACGTAGGTAGGTACTTATTATACGGTAATGCACATTTCGAATTCTACAACTCTTCCAGAATGATCGACTTGAGACTACTTACAATTATGCTTAAAAAAATTGGTGTTGTGTCAAGCTCTTATAGTTTTAGGCTGTTCTATCTACCTACATCTCTTGAATAAAGTGGCCGATACTGTTGAAACGTATGGACCGAACGCTATCTATCACACGCAGGCTAAACTATAACATTACATACAAGTTCAAGTCATCAAGCAGTCGCATCTTCTGCTGCTTTCAATGCCATCGCAAACCTCGCTTTCAGATCGCTAGCATCCTCAAGACCAACACTGATCCGAATGAGTTCCGCAGGTACACCAAATTGCGCCGCCCAATCTAGTTCCAGGTAATGAGCTAGGATCACATAAGGTGAAGTTAATGTGAAGTTGGTTCCCAGACTTGGGCCTTTCGCAGTTTCAATCTTGTCATAGAATGCGACTGCTTGAGGCATCTCTTTAAAGGTAAATGAAAGAAGCCCACCATATCCTCCGTTCGG